AATACAACTGAGGCCTGGAAGTTATCTCTGGGGAGGTCCAAACCGCATGACCAGGGATATGCTAGGGGAGGAAAGGCCAGCCTGGGGGCGAGGTCCCACTCTACAGTTGTCTGTTGCTAGGCACCAGGGGCTTTCCACCCCGGTGGCCTTCTGCCCGTGGCCCAGCGTCCTTGCTCTGCTCGAGTCCGTCTAGCCGCCGACCACACCCCCACCTCAGGACTCCTGCTGTACGTTCTGCAAAGCTCCCAGATCTGACCCCACACACGGGAATGCACAGGAAAGCAGCAGGCCCGCAGCACCGCAGGCGCAGTCCGCCAATGCAGCACGCCGGACACTACGGGACAAGTGACACTGTTTCTTCAACAGCAACATTGGGGGAAATAAACGAGAGAATCAGAGAAAACACTTGGCCAAGTCCATTCAGCTGAGTGAACTGCATGGAGGGTGGATCCGAGTCCCTTGGTTCCCTGACACCCAGATGTCTGTAATATCTTGGCCAAGAGGACCTAGTTGGCTTTGCTGCTCCCCTATGTCACTTACAAGACACCCTTTCTGAGCCATAATGCGCTTCTCCCTAGAAATGAGCCACCCCTGCCTGCAAGAGGCAGGTGGGAAACGAGACAGTTCTGCGGGGAGTGGGGAGAACCATCTGTGGGGCAGAGAAACGTCTGCTCAGATCCTGACTCCAGGGGGCACTGGCTTTGACCGTAGCAGGTGAGCTCCGCTGAGACTTAGTTTTCCCGATCTATAAAATGGGCACAAAATCAGACCAACTTCTAGCATTTTTGTGAGGATAGGAAGATGCTGAGTCACCGCGTCTCATGGCCCGTGGGAGGCAGTGAGCTCCCTTGTTGAGCGAAGCCTCAGAGAAGAAATAAAAGACGGGTCACCACCGTGACCGCTCCCCGTGGTTTCCTGCGCCGGGGGAGTCAGGGGCTTCTCCTTCCCGTCTCAGCGTCACCGCTGAGGCCGTCCATGGCTCGCTCTCTTCTGGGTTCCAGCTCCAGGCGATGGGGCACACTGGCAGCCTGTGGGTGATTTTTATTTAAGCATTAAAATCAAGCCGGGTTAAAGGAGGTGGAAATATGAGCGAGACCTGGGCACCTGAATGGTTCCTTTGGAGGTGGCGCTGAGCTCAGGGAGATGCTGGGATGGAGAACAGCAGGATCGGACGCGGGGCTGGGGGGGGATGTGAAGGGGGGACCTCTCGGTGGTGACTTCACCCCCAGGACAAACCGTCTTTAGTTCAAGTCACGTCTCCCCTACAAAGGGCAACCAAACCCAGGCGAATGGCTATGAAATACGTGTTCATCTGGAAACGGCCCCTTTCCTCCCCAGCCCCTGCCCTGGAGGGTCCCTCGGGCCTCTGAGCCGCCCCCACTGTCCCTTCTGTGCAGGTGCCGCCGGACAGGTGCGTTCGCCTGCGTTCTGCAGAATCAGGGGTTTGCTTTGTGTAAGGCCCCTCCCCTGTGGGTCTCCACTGTCTGCTTTTCCCAGTCGGGGTTTGTGAGGACTCCCAGCCCAGCACCACCTGCGAGTTTCATTAGCGCGCTGATTGCGCCTTTGTCATTAATAAAAGGACCCCAGTTTTATCTTACAGTCTGTGCCCCAACAATGCATTAGTTGTGGACAGAAATAGGTGCCGCCATTCTCTTGTCCCTGGAAATGTTTCGGGGAGCAGAGTGAGGGGGTTTGGAGTTTTGCCGTCTCCCCTCGGGGGCTCACAAGGATCTTTCAGGACCTTGGATCCAACTGGAACGGAATCTCCAGAGGAGGTGCTGTGGCCAAACCCCAGGAACCCCGCACGCGGTGAGATCACTTCCGAGTAACCTCCCCCGGGGCGCGTGCCGGGAAATCCGTCCTGCCCCACCCGCCGGCCCAGCAGGTAACGGTTCCTGCCCGTCTTCACTGTCACACACACGCATGTAGATTTATTTTGCTTAAGAGCTTTTTTACTCAGCAGTGTTTTCTGGAGCTACTCGCGCATTCCAGGTCCAACCAGAGAACTGAGGTCCAACCAGAATCCACGAGGACTGTCCCGTGGCCGGGCTGGTGTGGCTCAGTGGGGTGAGCGTCAGCCCATGAACCAGGAGGTCTACGGTTCGATTCCTGGGGTCGGAGCAAGTGCCCCTCCAGGTCTATGGCCCTGTCCCAGCCCCGCGGCCGCCCTGTCACGTCTCCCACCCACCTCCCACCATCAGCTCTTCCAGGATCTCCAGGCCACCACCCTCGAAGAACGTGGGACACACAAAAGACGCAGCCAGGCAGGATTTACAAAATGAACCTGTATTCCAGCCAAAATATCTTTAAAAAGAAATCCCTTCCGAAGGGGGGACAGACTACATAAGACACCATACATTTAAAATGTGTATTGAAATTACAAATCACACTTCTCCATAGGATTCCAAAGTACAAAACGCCACGTGAAAAGGCATTCGGACAGGCCTCCTGCACATCACAGTGTTCGTGGCACACAGTGCACTCACGTCCCAGACGCAAACCTCCCGCGTCGCCGCTTGTCAAATACATCACGTGTACAAGCGCGTGGCTCACCCACGCGCGTTCTGTACAGGATTTAAACGCCCCCGTGGGCCGAGGAGGGAAAGTGAGGCGCGCGGCGGGCACCCGCCCGACCCGAGGGCCCCTGGACTCGAGGGAGACCGGAGGGCGCAGACCCAGGGGCCGGGCCGTGGGCGTGGCTTCCCCGGGCCATGGGCGCTCCCAGTGCCCATGCGCCTGTGACGCCAAGTCGACGCCCGCCCTGCGCTCCAGTTGGCATTTTTGGCAACACCAGTCATCACACCCTCATTTTATTTCCACCGGGGCTCGGGCTCCTGACCAGGGATAAACTAGCTTTGGTATGTTTGTAATGAGACCTTCATGCAGAATGTTTTCCCTCGATGGATCCGTTACGACGTCTGTATATACAAGGGCTATTTATTGATAAACGAGAGTCTGAGAACTATACAGAAAGCTCACCCTGGTTCTTTCTAACCCCCAATATTTTAAAGATGGCCAAGGGGACATGTCCTCCTCTAGTCTGTGAAATGTTTAACTTTTAATTCAGGTGAAAAAAGCTAACCTCGTCTTGAAGTGTTTCTCGCATATCTGAGACCCCCTTTCCCCATGAGCCCTGGACCCTGATCAGAAATCGGCCTGGCTCCCGAACCAGTTTTCCAGGACCACGTGCAGCAGAGCGAGTCTGTCCCCTTCGCAGAGAAGCGGGAGGGGTGGGCGCTGGCAGCCACCCCGGGGCCGAGGGGGGCTATGCGGACAGAAGTCTGTGCCGCCAGGGAGGCCCTGCCTTCGCTCAGATCCTCACTCAGCCTCGGCGACGGGGACACCACGGTGGGTCCTGGTCTGGAGGCAACGGGCTCCTGTGACAGCGGCAGTGAGGGGCTCGGCTGGCCGGGCTGACGCACAGCAGAGCCAGCCTGAGATCGGACACGTCCAGTCCAGCCGCACAGCGGGGTCGGGTTCCAAAGGGCCTGAGACAGCCTGGGCGTCCACAGGGCCCCCCAGCCCCGGTCGGTCTGGAAGGCGGGTCCTCCCTCCTCCCCAGCACGGAAAGGCCTCGAAATGAATCCGCACCCATGTGCTTCCAGAGGGCCCCCGTGGAAACAGTCTGGGAGAGGGAATGTCATCGTCACTTAAGACAAACTGTGCTGAGGACAGGAAGGGCGCCACCCGCTAGGTGGGGGACCCCCCAGGTTTTACCGGGGACTGACCGCCAGGTTAAAATCCGAAGGTGGGCCCTGCTCGCACATTCGGCTGACACTTTACATCAAGCCTGGTCAGCATCCCTGCGGACAGCGGGGTCCCCGTGGACAACGGGGGACGTTCCTGACCGAAAGACGCTGGAGGAGGGGCCATGAGGTTACACAGGACCTCAGGACGATCCTGCTGATGTCTTTCTGGGGAACGGGCAGTTTTAGTTCTGTCGTCACTGAGACAAGTGAGGCCTCACTGATGCAGAAGCTCAGGACACGCAGGTGCGACTGGCTCCCGCCGGCCCCACGATCTCCGGTCCCTAACGGGGTGACACCGTGTGCTCGTGAAACCATCAGCAGTGAAGGCACAGGAGGGTGGGGCTACAGATCGGTGGGATGCGGCCACCGGGTCCTCCAGGACAGATGGACAGCCGACCCACTAGGAGCAAAGCGGCTGGAGCTTTTGCCCAGAGAACGCAGCCTGTCGAGGCTCTGGCCCCACCCCGGGGGACGGGGGTCACTGTACAGAGTCTGCAGTGGGCAGTGGGCCGAAGCCAGTACAGGCAGGATGGACCAGGATGGGGTGCAGGCCCCCCGTGCACCGCTGGACACACGGCCACGCGCCTGCTACCTTCCAGACACATCTTAGAGGGCACTGGCTAGACAAAGGGGTTCTCAAATCCCGAGGTGAGGCCTCAGCTTCTTCAGGCCCTACGGAGTTGTTACCCTCTTAGCAAAGCCACCCGACCTCCAGGCCCTGTCACACCCCCTCCAGCTACACAGACTCACTGCCAGGCCTCAGCCCAAGAGACGGTCTCAGGCGGGCTCTGATTTAGTTACTGAATTTTTAAGCTACAATTATAAGGAAAATTTTTGACAGGGTCTGGTTTCTAAACGGCTCCTGTCTCGGAAACGAATGCCAGAGGCGAGGCGTGAGGTGGTCCTGTTTCCTCTAACCTGTGAAAGGCTAAGAAATAAAGAAGACGTTTCCACACGGGGAGGCGAACCAGGACCTGACGTGTAGACACAGGGACAAGTGAAAGATACAAACCCCCCCATCACACGTGCCCCCCACAAGCACACAACCGAGATGGAAGTCAGGGTTTGTCCCCATTTAGTCCCCTGTGAAATGCTTAATCAGTTTAAAAAGTTCCCCTGCAGCCCTGGCCGGTGTGGCTCAGTTGGCTGGGCATCACCCGTGCGCCCAGAGGTGGCCGGTTCGATTCCCGGTCAGGGCACATGCCCGGGTCGTGGGCACAATCCCCAGCAGGGGGCGCGCAGGAGGCAGCTGATCGATGACTCTCTCGTCACTGATGTTTCTCTCTCTCCCCCTCCCTCTGTAAAGTCAATAAAAACAGGTAAAAAGCTCCAGGGCAATGGATCGACATCGTCTGCCTTCCCGCTCTTCTCGGAAGTCCCGAGTTCGACGCAGTCCATCCACTCCATTTCAACGCCACGCTGACCCCAGCTCTCTGCAGAGACTCCGGCTTCCCCGCCTGTCAGAGTTAATCGACCGGGTGGCCTGTGTCATGGAGCCGAGCATTCTGTTGCCAGGGTAACAGCCACGCAGCCGGCAAGGGACAGAGTGGTAAAGTCCCCAGTCGCAACGACCCGCAGATGGAAGGGTTTCAGCGGCGGCAGGGTGGTGAGCGCCAGGGCTCGGAGCTCTGTGAGAAGGACGGTTCCTGCAGAATAGCGGGGTCACTGAAAAAAACGGGGGACACCCCAGAAGGTGCCTCCCCAGCCCCCGGGCCGCCTCTGAGGACCAAGGGCCCTGTTTTCTACCTACGTCTGCTGGAGAAGACAGAGGCCAAACCAGGGAGACTTCCCGCAAAACGACTTCCGAGAGAAGCAACCTGGTTTCTGAAGACACTGAAAATATCTGCGGACACCCGGGGGAGACGGGAGGAGCCCAGGAGCCGACTGGCTCAGCGAGGAGAAACGGGGGGCAGACCTCGGGAGGGGGCGCTCCTTCAGACGCATCCGTATTTTCAGAGAAACGCGACCACGCGGGACCACGGTGGTGACGGTGCACAGCTACGGCGGCCTTCAGTCCTCACAGTCTCGGGAAGAACACGGGGGCGCGTAGGGCTTTCGGGGTCTCCGGAAGGGTGGCCGAGCCAGAACGTCCTTTCAGAGGCTTCTGAAAATGCGCGTTTCCGAAAGGCATAGGATGGTTCAGGTGCACCTTGTTGAATTTTCCCTGCCCCGTGGGGAAGGGAAGAATGCCTTCTGAAAAGGATTTTACTAAACGCCACTAGCAATAAAACAGTGAAAAACGGGGCTTCTCTGGAGCCAGGGCAACGGGCTTCTGTCTGGAGGGAGCCGCAGTCCTCAGACTCTCTCGGCAGCTCGGCGCCACCTTGAGGCCAAGGAGGAGGTGACGATGTTTGCAAGAGAAGATCTCAGGCAACCAGGGGACCGTCCTGCTCTCTGGCCGCAGGGAGCACCTCCCCTGGCCGGTCTGCAGGGACCTTGGGCAGGACCTGCCCTGTTCACACCAGCCCCGCCCCCCAGGCCTTGGGGACTCCGCTGGGGCCTCGGCAAACGTTCCGACAGCGTCCCTGAAATGACGGCATCCGGCGTGACACTGAAGCTCAATGGGGCACATAAGGCAAGAAAGACGTTTAGTGAGGGGGATGGTGAGGAGGGGTGGGGGAGAGCCGCGCTCCCCGGAGGCCGGGACCTGGCTCCAGCATTGCGCCTTCCTCTAGGTGGGTAACGGGTCGTCGTCGCCGTTACTGCACTTGCACTTGCAGCACAGGACAAAGGGAGTGGCCAGGAGCAGGAAGGGCGAGGCCACCAAGAGCAGGAGCCCAAATCCAGCAAAAATGCCCACGACCTGCAAGAGGAAGCACAGGAGCTGAGGGTGAGGTGGCTGGTCTGTAGGTGCCACAGCTAAAGTATAGAACATCAACCACCCCACCCATCCATCACACACCTACACCTCATCCTCCCATCCATCAGCATCCATCCATTTATCCATCCATCCGTTATCCATGCAACATCCATCCATCCATTTATCCATCCGTTATCCATGCAACATCCATCCATCCATCCATCCATCCATTATCCATGCAACATCCATCCATCCGTTATCCATACAATATCCATCTATCCATCCATCCACACATCCATTACCTATATGACATCCACCCATCCATTTATCATCTCCATCCACTCACCCATCCATCTTTCCACCCACTCATCATCCATCCATATACTCATCCATCCTTCATCCACCAACCTATTCATCAATCCACTCATCATCCATCCATTCATCATCCATCATCCATCCATCATCCATCCATCCACCATCCACCCACCCACCCATCATCCATCCATCATCCATCCATCCACATCCATCCATCCATCCATCCACCCATCATCCATCCATCATCCATCCATCCATCCATCCATCCACCCATCATCCATCCACATCCATCCATCCACCCATCATCCATCCACCATCCATCCATCCATCCATCCATCCACCATCATCCATCCATCCACCCATCATCCATCCATCCACCAACCACCCATAATTCCTTCCCTTCCCTTTCTTCCCCTCACACCTCCTCCCATCTTTCCTTTTTCCTTATTTTCACTTCTCTTCCCCTCCCTCCTTCCATCTAAGCACCCAAACATCCATCCATTTATACATCTAATTAACCCACAAGCTTGCCCTGAGCTAGACACTGTACTAGGTGTTGCAAATACAGAGGCACTTCAGATGTTGGCCCTCGAGGAACAGCCAGCCTGGTGGAAAGAGCCACAATTTAATCAGCTACAACAATGCGATTAACAAAACCTGCCGTCGGGCTCTCAGTGTAAAGGGAGCCCTAGGGAGAAGGAGGGTTTGTTTTCAAAGGGAGGTGGCTACGACTATAAGGAGAGGAAGTGGTCAGCAAACAGGAAAGGCTGCGATAAGGTGTCCCCGATGGGACAGCAGGACAGGCAGGGGCACGGAGCATCCGGGAGTGACCAGACCTGCATTTTCCCGGAGATTAAAACCCAGCACGTTAACTTAATTTTAACACATACGTTGGCCCCTGGGTATGAGAAAGTGCTGAAAGCAACAAGCCTCCAGTGTGGACATGCTGGCATCCAGATCCGGCAGTGAGGCTGCTCAGAGGCCTGGACTCTGCACTTAGACTGGTCAGTCTCCTCCACCAGCTGCCTCCCTCCCCAGGCGCGGGGAACCCAGGATGGAGATCCGAGGGTGGCGTTACGGCCCCACCCGGTGCTCAGAGGGATGATTACACAAATGCATAGCCCGTGGCTCTAAGTCTGACTCAGTGTGTTTACCTCTCCCTGGGCCTCAGTTTTCTCAATTATAAAATAAAAAACAAGGTAAAAGACCTCCAAGGACTATGCTAAGCTCTGGGATACTGCAGCATCCCAGATGCGTGAAAGGAAACGTACCCCGACTTAGATTTCCGCCTGACACCATCCCACACAGGCACACACTGCCCTGCGTCTGTAAATTAGGTTGTGCCGATGCTAAGAATCCAAGCTTTCTGCCCAGCCAGCGCTGGTCCGAACATCAATGGGTGAACTACCCACTGTGAGTTCTGATCACGCTTCGTGGAAATCACGGGCACACCGGTATCTCAGAAAACATAAAAACGCACAGGAAGGTGTTTTCACCTGGCGGGGAAGGCGCGCTCCTGAACAACTTCAACTACCTGGAACAAACCGTTAGTCCTGGAGGGGCCAGGGACTCAGACACGTACCCGAACATGACTGAACGCTCACACTCCCGGCCAGGTCATCACCACCTTAGTCTACCTTGTCTGTTACCTGCACGCCCCTGATAAGCTGGGTTACCCATCTCTGGCCAAGTGCGGGCGGGAGGAGGCAGGTACTACCAGGAGGAAGCAAGTAGCCACAGTAAAGAGCGAGACAGGCAGCAGATACCACAGGACAGAAACAGCCAGCCAGCGGGCACGTTATAAATATGTCGCAGGCACAGGCTACACTGCGGGAGGCAGACGGGGAGCAGTCCCGGGCTCCCGGGGAATCACAGAGTAACAACGACATTCCCACGGCGAACCCCGATGTAAAGGAACAGCCAACCACTGAGACCGAGTGTCTCAGCCCAGCGCCTCTCCCACCCCAAACGCTCATCTATGGAGTGAACCGCCCAGGTGGATGGAATGGCCACATTCAGGATCTTCTGCCCCAGGAGGGTCTTGAACAAAACATGTTCCAGGACGTGGAAACTGCGCCAGAGTCAAAGACACAGTAAGGTGAACGGAACACCTTCAGCCACTGCAACCTGGCATTCGACTGTGGCATCGACATGGGCCGAGCACCTGCTGGGGCGAGGGACCCAGGGCTGTGTCATGTGTGCCGGAGCCGGCTCCCGAGTCTCTTCCCAATTCTGCACTCAGTGGCATCACGCTGGCAACGTGAAATTGCCATCGCGCAAGTATGGGTGCTACAGAAAGGAGCCAACCCAAGATCAGGCCCTGACTTTGTCCCCTGCACGGCAGGAGCTGCTAGATAGAGGACCACACGGCTGGCAGACCTCCAACCAATGGGCAAGTCTCCGGGAAACCACCCACACACGTGTGCACATGCACACAGGCACTCACACACGTACATGCTCTCTTCCCGAGGTCCAAGTCCAGGTGCGCCCCCTACCTGTGTCCGATGCCAGATCACGGATGCCCGGGAGTGGCCCAGCTTGTTCCGGCAGGGTCCTTTGTCATAGTGGATGAGCAGGAAGTCGTCCTGTGAGGCAAGAGAAGGGCAGGGCGGGGTTAGCACCTGGGTCCTGGGTCCTGGGTCCTGGGTCCTGGGTCCTGGGTCCTGGGCCCTTCTTTAAGCCCAAGGTCCCTGGGGACCTGAAGACAGTGTGTGACAGGTGAGCGCGAGCAAACCCCGTCGCACGGGACTCCTGCCACTCCAGGCTGCCCGCCCCAGATCCCAACCTCGCCCTGGCCCAGCGGCGCTAGATTTTGGAGGAAAGAGAGAATCGAGATCAAATCGATTGGAGGCACCTGGCCCTGGCCTAGCTTTGTCCCCCGGAGTCCCTGGCCCCCGTGTCTCCCTCTCCTGCAGGCTGGATTATTCCTGGACACGAAGGTTCCCTTTCTCCCTGGCCACCCGCCTGCATCGGTGCAGACCTCTCCTGGAAAGCTTCCTCTCCGCTCAGACCTTCGCCAGGGTCCCATCGCCTTGAACCAGCTGGGAAGCAGCCTCTGCAATTTCTCCGACTGTCCAGAAGGGGGCAGTAGCGCCCTCCGGCTCTCAGGGCGACAGCTGCCCCGCCCCCTCCGGGGCTCTCACCGCCCACCCTGACCCTCCACCAGATGGTCAGGTTTCCCTCCAGGACACCAATCCGTTCAAGTTCCGGGCCCAGCACTTGTCACCCCAAACCCCAAGTAGTACCGACCGAGCGTGCTAACGGGTTTCCTAGACCCAAGCCCCGCCCCTCCGTGAACAGGAGGTGCCATCCCCCCATTTATCCATAAAAAGGGACAGCTCAGTAAGTAGCACAGAGGAGGGGCTGCTGATGGGGGTGTGAACAGACAGCCTCTTTCTGAGAACAGTGACTATCACAGAATATCACAGGCCCGGGGAGTCTGAGAGGACAGCAGGCCATTCTCCCGAGCGCCAGGGAGACGGGACACAGTGGCTGTTGTCTCGCCCCTAAAATCCCAGGCCGGGAGCACACGGGGCAGCTGCAGCCAGGGGCCCTCCTCTCCTTCCCCTGGGAACGGCACTGGCCGTGGGTGTGCTGAGCTTGTCGGCCCACCTCCTGGAGCCTGAACGCTCAGCGGCGCATCGGGAAGCCTGATTTTCTGGGGTGGGAGCGAGAAGCCTTGGAGGGACGTCAGAAGCCCCAGCTGCCACCACCCGCCCCAGCCCTCACCAGACCCCGTGGGGGACGCCGCAGAGGGAGAGAGGAACCGAACCTCCTGCGGCCGACCTTCGCCTGTGTGAAGCTGTTGCTGAGGACCTGTGTC